TTCGCGGGTTTTAGTAAGAGAGATAATAGAAGAAAGAAATTATGTATTAAATTAATAAATAATACAAGTCGTTTCCGGGGAACAAAAACGAAAAACAAGTCATAATTGAAAGTAAATTTCGATTCTTTGCTGATTCTTGTCAATTTTCAACTTCAAGTTCAGATCTCTTATCTCTTTCTTCTTCTCTCTCTCTCACATTTATAGAGAGAGATTTCAAACCACTTCTTCTTCTTCTCTCATATACAGGGAAGGAGGAGCTTCAATACTCTATTTAAATAGTTTATATAGATTAAATTTTATATTTAATCTATATTTAATATTTTATAATTTAGTATTTTAGTTTGCAATACTTATTTAAGCTTCTCTTTCTGTACATCAACATCACGATTTCCGCCACCTCTTCTCCGAACAACAAAGAAGAACATTATCTATTTTATTGAACTTCAATATTGTACAAACAGTTTTTTGTACACGACGTTTATCATTAAATTAATAATAATTGTTGCTGCTGGTAGAATAGAATTGGGTGTTGTTTTGTGAAGCTGTTAGTAGGGCCTAATTAGCACCACAGGGGGGAGGGAGTGGTAGAAGGATGAGTCAACTCGTCTCATAAGCAACTTCTTTTCCTCTGATTCTCAACTAGAAAAAAAGAGCAAGTAGGCCGGGTCAACTTGTCCTGTAAGATGAGTTGACTCAACATATAGAAAGCCCTGTTTATTCTGATACTCGATTAAAAAGGAAACGACATTTACGATAAAGCTAGCTTAAAATATATCTAAACTCACTGATAAGTAAAATTGTCTAACTTGAAAAGTTGTATCATAATATAACGGAATTGTTTCTGTTGTAGTGTTTAATAAATATTCGAAAGATTCTTCAGCGTGTTCGTGCATTAAAACAACAGTTAGCTCGGGTAACGAACAAGAACGAATATAATCGTTTATTTCACTTATACTTAATAATATTGTGTTTAATAACTCGTCTTTAGACAGACGTTGTTTACGAAGATATTGTGTTCTTTGGTAATTAGCCTGGCGTACATTCCTTGGGAAAAGAACATCACCCGAGCCAACCATTGACTTGTAGACCGCTGTGCCTGGGTCTGTTCTAACACCTTGTCTGATTTTCGTTATTGTAGATGGACGTGTTCTTCGGTAGACATGAGCTGCTGTTGTTGTTTTTTTGGTATTTCCATGTGCAGCTTGTTTTGCATACTGTTTATCGCCTAGAAAATGAACTAAATGCAGTGGAAAAATTGACGCTTGTTTAGTGGTTCATTACCAGGGTTGTCAGTCCCACATTTTGAGATTTGTCCCTCCCCCCGCAAAAATCCGTCACCTCGGTTGTCCCCCTTTGAAAGGGTTTTGCCTTCTTACTATCTCCAATAGACTTTTCAGCCTTGTATTAATTATGCTTTCATTTAGATAGTCTCGTAGCGTTAATACTTTTTCTTATGTGATGTGCAGAACATACGCGAACTATAGTCTTATCTTATCTGCCTATCTGAGAAAAGGAAATCTACATGGAAAGCCACATTTTACCTAGATATAGGATTATTTCAAGCAGAAACGAAAATAAAACTGCGACCTTAGTAAGTTTGTCTAAGATCTTGGACAAATGTAAGACAAATCTCACTAAGATCTTACGAGGGAACGTTCCCAAGTGTCCAATCACTTTTTAATCGAAATCTAGTGGGTTATAGGTTATCGATCATGCTGATTCCGGATATGAATATGGGAGTTACCCATAGCCCTTCGAAGATCCGGTCTTTTGGAAAACCAATTTTTCAGAAACTCCAAAAAATAACAAAAAACCTTTCTTAATTAGGCAGAATTGTAGCGCGTAAATTTCTGATTAAAATGAGACATCTCTCAGCTCTACATGACCTTTCTTTGCAAAGTTATGGAATTTATAAGAAAAGCCCTAAATTAATTTTTTTCTTCTTATTTCTGCAGTTTTGAACTGACAATGGACAATTTAGTCTTTTTTTTTTTTTTTGTTGTAAATTCTTTAACTTTGCAATGAT